ATGTCTGCTATTAAAGGAGATGCCAGAATTTTCTTTTGCAAGAGTCCATTCTAGCACCTGACTTCTGACCTACAGGCTGCAGCTCATGCATTCATTGTCTCCATTTGTTGAGGAACATATCAAAAAGCATTCCAAGTCAGAGGAAGTCCCAGCTAAGAGAAGGGAATGGCAGAACTATCACTGCTAAAGGGCATATAAGAACACAAGATCAAAACATTTCTTATATTCCAGCAATACTTAGGGACTATAACGGGAAGCCAGTGACACTTTAAAAACATATAAACCTAGGAATACCTTTTACAACAGATGTGTAAGACCTCTATGTGAACATTACAAAACTTTACTTAGTGGCAAGAAAGGAGATTTGAATAATGACACATATCACATTCTGGATAGAATAATCTAGTATGCACCATGAACCTTTAAATGTTATATTATAATGGAACTACTTCATTTCAGTTTAAAATACCTCAAAGAAATTTGGGGGAAGGGGAACTGTTAGATTGATCATAAAATTCATCAGACAAAAGATATCTGGTGAGAATAGCTCAGAACATGATAAAGTTAAAAAGGAGAAGGTGGCAATTTCATTTACCAGAGATCCTGAAACACATGAAAACTATCAAAGATGGAAACAATGGAAACAGGGAAAGTGCATGGGTGGGTGGAACATAACTAGCTAGAAATAGACAACAGAGACAGCAACTTCAAACAGCGAGACTGAGTCCATAAAGGTAAATGATAAAACTGGGTAAGTTTTGCAATATACAAAAGGGAAGGCTCATATTTAATCTTTATATTATAGAATCTTTTCAAAATAAAAAAAAAGATAAACTGCTCAGTAGGAAAGTGGGCAAAAAGTAGGCCTCCCTGGTGGCCTAGGGGTTAAGTCTCAATGCTATCACCCCTACCATCTGAGTTCAATCCCTGGTCAGGGAATTTACTCACTTGGTGCAGCAGACCTCTCCTGTATCACCTGCTGCTCCTTCAGCAGTGTATTTCACTAAACCCACCTGTTCTGCTCCCCATTCTGTCTCTGGTGAATCCTTTTACCCCCTGCACCTCTAGCCTAAACTCCAGTTCTCCAATGCAAGAAAGGAAGAAAAAAGAAAATTGGCAATGATTATTTAATAGGTAATTTTCACTCATGCACACACAAAAATATGAAAACTGTTCCTGTGCTAGTAATATAAACTCATGAAGATATACAGAAAATACTGCCTATAACTTGCTGAGCAGGCAATCCATCGGTCAAAAAAATCACAACCACCTGTTTACCGTGAATTCAATGATAGATTTATCCTAAGGAAATATTGATGATGTTTGACAGATTTATCTACAATTTAGTGTAAGGAAGCATTGTTTGTGTCAGCAAAACACTGGATTGGCTAGGAATTACTGCCCATCCATATGATGTGGTACTAGGCATTTAGTAAAAATTTTATCAGAAAGGAGACTTAGTGACAGTGAGAATTTTCATGATGTAGCTTGAAAAGGAAGTTACAAATACGCTTCTATATGGTCCATATGAATTTAAAAAAATGTATGACAAAGGTCTTGATGGACATAGAACTCAGTGGCAGTGTTAGCAGACGTTACCATTGCAAAGTGTATTGTAGATGGGTTTTATGTTCATTGTGCTTTCCTGAACTTCCTAATTTTCTACACTAAAATGTATTTTTAAAGCTATATTTCAAAGTAATTGAAAAGATAGAGCTTAAATTTCCATTTGTCCTGCTGGCTCTAGAATTATGGATTATGTGGATAACTTAACTTTTCACCAGGATTATCTATATTTCACAAAATTTTCTACCACTGCCACAGCCGCCACCACCACTGACACCAGCCCCCATTCCCACCATGCTAGAAGTCTTTCTATCTTCCCACCAAGGGCAAGTTTACTAAAAGTGGCAGTATTAAATGTCATATCCTCACAGTAGATTATCCAGAGCAATACCAATTATTCTGAATCTTTAAAGTACCACAGACAGCCTTCTGTTTACAAAACTAACCCAACTATAATCAACTCTTCAATATCAAGGCAGAAAAAAATTCCCATTGTTAGAAATTCTTTTTGTAATTTGACTTAAAAAAAAAAAAAAAAAAAAAGGCCTCCCTGATGGTACAAGGGGTTGGGTCTCAGCACTGTGAAGCTATCCCCAGCCACTGCAGCATGAGTTCGCTGCCTGGCCAGAGAGCTGACCCACATGGCACAACAGACTTCTGTCTCACCCACTGCTCCCCTTAGCAGCGTATGTCAGTGGATCTGCCAGTTCTGCTCCCCACTGTGTCTCTGGCAAATCCTCTCATCCTCCTACATCTCTGGCCTATGCCCCAGCTCTTATATACATAAGTAAATCTTCAAAAAAAAAAAAATTAAAAATGAGCCACGGCAGTCTTAAAAATGTGATCTTATGGTTTAAAAAAAAAGTCTAAAGTATATTAACATTTCGCAAAGTGGTATTTTTTTTTAAAGATTTACTTATTTATGCATATAGAACTGGGGTACAGGCCAGAGGTGCAGGGGTGGTGAGAGGATTCACCACACACACAGAGCTGCGAGCAGAACAGGCAGATCAATGAAGTACACTGCTGAGGGGAGCAGCGGGCGGGTCAGGAGAGGTCTGCCACGCCATGTGGATCGCCTCCGGGGCTGGCGGGAATCGAACTCATGCTGAGGTGGCTTTAGCTTCTTACTGCTGTGCTTTAACCTGCTGCACCACCAGGGAGTGCCCAAAGTGGTATTCTTTTACAGGATTTTGCTATTAAAACCAGCACAACTATAGGAACAGCTGTTTGACCTCAAAAATCCTAAAATTCTTAATCATCCACAATAGTAGTTAGGAGAGCGCCTGATAACTTTAACCTTCTGTGCCGCAGCAACCAATGCATGGTTAAATTAAGTAAATTTGAATTCTTCTCAAATGTTCTAGACCAGAGAAAGAATTATCAAGACCTTAAAAGACCAAATTCTAAGAAAGAAAGAACAGTAAAGAAACTAGATAACCAAGCCCTCAACATGCACTTGAGTGGTCTCTCAGAAGTAGTCAGACGAGAAGAGGCTGCCCAGGAGTGACGTGGAGTCTAGTAGAACCACAGCCTCCTGTGCATACCTATCTTAGTGCTCACTGCATGAACTGAAACTGCCTATGTATTTCCATTAGACCAGCAGTACGTTTCTCCAGGATGGGGCTGTGCTGATTATATAAACTCAGTACTGAACACAAGGTCTGGGACACACTAGGCAGGAAAGAACCATCTCTGAGCTACTACAAGAAATGAGATTGACATTCTGTGGCTGTCCTACAGAGGGGAAGGCAAAGAGGTAGCAAACCTAAGAGCTCTTCCCTGAAGTGATTTCTAATAATTTAAAAATGCATGCCTAAGTACAATGTGAGGGGAGGAAAACTAGAAGACTTTAGCACAGATAGGCCCAGTTTACCTAGTTTATCCCAGAGACAGAAAGGTGGACGAGAACTTACATTTGAGAAAGTGAAGGCACTTCTCACTACCTCTCCACCTTTAGCAAAGACATTTTTGAGTTCCAGTTCCTGACATACACATGCCGACAGCTTGAGGGAATCTCACAAAGGCAGAGAAGTTAAAAGGGAAGGGAGAAGCACAGTCACCAGATGTTCCCTCCCTCTCTCACACTAAGCCTAAATGCTCGCCAGTTCCGAGGCGCTCCGACAGCTCTTCCTGATCAATCTGGGATGCCCTCACACTGATGAAACACGTCATTCCGAACTTGACTTTCAAAGAGTCAAGCTCTTTTTATGAAAGAACCACGTATATTTAGCAGATCATCACTACACATCACATCTTGCTTGTGCAGGGCACTGAGAACCACTCGTGTGGACATTTCAAATGGAGGGGGGCTCAGAAGCCAGGAGGAGGCTTATCTGGTGGTCTGCAGCCCTGGAGCACATGAGAGTCACCTGCGAGCTTTAAAAAAAAATCTACTAGTGCTGGGTCTCAGCCCAATTAACTGAGCATTGCTAGGGGTGAGGACTGGGCATCTGCTTTTTTGTTTTTAAAGCTCCACAATGAATTGTTATTAATTTTTTTAGTATGGAAACAAGTGGATATGATCTTTTTAAAGAATCCTTACTGAGATAGAAGATCGGCTTTAACATACTTCATTGGAAAAGGGGGGGTTCTCATTATGCAAGTTGACAAAATGTGAAAAATTGGTGAAGCTGGATGATGGCTACTTAGGGGCTGATGATATTATTCACTCCTGTATATTTTAAAATTTCTCTAACAAGTTAGTTTATAAAATCAGCAGAAATAAAATGTGCTCGCACCCCATACATTGTGTATGATGTATTTAATATAAAAATATTTTTAAAAGAACATTAATAACTCTGCAAGGCATGATTGTGTAACCCAGGTTGAGAACCACTAGGCTACATCATTGAAGGAAGGGCAAACCTGACTTGGAAAATTAAGATTTAAGTAAGTGGCAAGAGAAACCAGGTGAGAAAGATCCACTCAGACTCATCTCAGGATGAAGCCAGTGAGGGTGGCAAGCTGGATCCACGGGTCACATGGCCAGCTTCTGTGAAGCACAGATTTGCCTGAATGTTGGAATCTTTATTCACAAGTAAGTTGCAAAAATGTACACACAAAGGTGTACTCTGTATATATACTTGACAGCAGTACCGATTATATGTTCAGTAGCATGTAATTTTTTAAAAACACTATCTGAAAAAGCTGCTCATGACCTAAAAGGCTTTGGCCTGGGGAACAGTCACAGAAAGGCACTCCTTGGGAGGGGCAGGTGGCGGGGGTAGGAGCTGGAGTGTGGTCTTTGGAACTGGTTAGCTCTTTATCTACCTAAGTAGTTTATGGGCAGTGCTGCTTAGACAGCTGAGTGAACTTTCAAATCAGCTGCTACTTGTGGAAGAGTCAAGAAGAATGGCTAAGTCTCAGCTTAATGAACAGAGAATGCATCAAAAAACACTCCCCCCCTTCCACGCCCCAAACCCCCAACTCACCTATTCTTCTCCATTTCATTGTGAGTTGATCTGAAAGAGGGAACAAAGAGCGTAAGATTATTCTAGTCTTAAAGGACTACTTGAACACCAACACAATTATTTTAACTTCTTTATTTTAACTTCTCCAAAACTGGTGGATGACGGAGAAAGGGGAGAAAACCCCATGAGCTCTGCTGAAGAAACCAGTCTATTTGGGGAGTTAGGTAAATGTAAATATCTAAAGTAGAGTTCAAGAAGAAGTGACAAGCTAAGAGGTAGGCATTCCCTAGTAGAAAATTAATCCATTTTCAGAAAGGAAGTAAAGGGGGTCTATTTAAACAGCTGCGCAGGTGATAGGAACTTGGGTCACATAACACAGCACTGCTTTCTGTTTTAGGCTGGAGGTGGTGCCCCGACCCAAGCCCCTGCAGTTTTTTCTAGGCTAAGTTGTTTGACAGTAGGACAGCTATACATGGTTTATAAATAAGCACCTTTTCCTCGATTTGTCTACTTCCTGCAGTGACTATTTCATCACATACAATCTTCTGAAAGATGCTACTTCTGAAATGGTTAGGAAGGGGCTAACATAGGGATGAACTGGTAAAAGCAGTTTGGTGCAGTTTGAAGTCCATTTTTGCCACTGACTGGTACTACAGAAGAAAAAAAAAAATTCTCTACTATCTTGTCCTTGGCTAACCCCTCCATAAAATGGGAATAAAATTTATTGCTAATTATTTACTGAACAAGCATGGATCAATGAGGTAGCATTGTGATTAGAGCGCCATGCATGAAAGCTGTGGTAGATGTGAGATCATATCATTAGTGTGTTTATAGCTGGCCTTGAATATAAGGTCTGGTTCTAAGAATTTATGGACAGGATTCAACAAAAGTCACAAGTCAATGTCATGTTACTGTCTTCCTCACACAAATCCTTCCAAAATAGTTATAAATTTGAGAAAGCGCCCAGCATTATAAAGGAACCTGGTCTTGACCTTTCTTATGGAAATTTTCTAGAATCTAACGAGTTCAGGGGATTGTGTACTGGTTCAGGTCATGAATTCTGTGGGGCCTTAATAAAAACTTTACTGGGTCTAAAAAATCAATTCTACAGTAATCATGGAGCAACACTATATTGTGAATGCCCAGTCATTCATTTACACTTAGGGGGTATTAAATTCATTCACACCAAGCCAAGGGGTGTGTGTGCGTGTGTGTGTTCTTGAAATGGGAAATTTCCAATCTAGCAATAAAACTTCATTTTCTGCAACAATCTTGGGATACCAAATTTTATTTATAAGGAATAACAAAATAATGACACCATTTCAAGTTTTACACTACTTGTTTTCTAGATGAAGGCTACATAGACCTTAAATTTGGTTAACTTAAAAGCTTTAAGTTGGTTCACTTGGCTATCCCTCAGCATATTTCTGATTTACTTCCTGTAATGACCAGCAGGATATAGCAGTTAAGAATCTAGCTTCTACAGCAAACCTTTGGCTTTAACGCACGTGGCATTTTAGTTTTAACAAGGAATAACAAGTTCAAAGTCTGACAGATATTTTAAATGGATGAAAGTATATGGCAACAGCTGGTCAAGTCTTCCTTGTTTAACTGTAGATAAGGGCCATCTCAGTAGGTGGTAGGAGAGGAGGGTGAGTATTTGAAAAGAACATGGTCTCTGATTGTAGAAAATCACAGCACTCAGGGTAGTCTACTCCCAATTTCTGCATTCTTTGAAGTTATGTAAAAAAATTTCAGGATCCCCCCACAGACAAACTTTTAAACATTCCATAGCAAACACAACTCCTTCCATACTTTGAACAGTTTTAGAATCCACAGATCTCATTTGATTAAACTATGAGCATTGAACACAGTGGCTTTTTATGAGGTGAGTTTAGACCTCATGGATAGGGCATTTCACTTACTGAAATGGAGCTAACCTTACATAAAAAATTGGGACTTTCAAAAAAAGATCAGATTGCCTGTCAAGTCTGTTGAAGGGCAAACATATATTTAATGAAAGCATTATAAGATACATAGGCATCCTATGTCAAAGTTATTTTCCATGACATTATTAAAAACTTGATTACTCTGGAATCACTGATAAAGGTCAAATATCACCATTTAAAAATATATTCTAATGAAAAGATAGCTAAGCCAAGCAATAGAGTCCTGAGGAAGGGAGAAGTCCCTGAGTTCAAAAAGACTCCTTATATCGACCAGCTATATAGGCACTGTCTCATAAACAACTGGGTGGCAAGTCTTGAACTTCCTCTTTCACATGAGTGCCAACGCCTGCTCTACTAATTTGACAATACATACTTTTACAAGCACTTAATTTTGATTCTAAATATTGAGCAACTGATTTCAAAAATCTGTAGGAAAGAAAATAAGAAAGCCACTTTCCTGTATTCCAGCACTCTGGAAGATTCTAAAACATCAATATTCACAATTTCACTTGTTTTTTTTTTTTAAACAAGCAACTGAGAAAATTTATTAAAATCTAAATTTTCAGTTTTCAAGTAGTTTGATATGTAGCTAAATTTTATATTTATTGTCTAAGCAAAAGCACCCCTGTTAAGACTCCACAAGGAACACAGCATTTCAACAAGATTAAATTGTTATTCAGTGGTTATATAAACCAGTAGTAATCTCTCCCTAGTCCTTACCGCAGTTCAAGATCCTGACATATATGGCCTTGGATACACAACTAATTCAAATCAAGGGGTCAAACTGCAACCTCTGGGGAGAAGTCTTATTGCTCAGGTAAGAGTCATTGCAAATAGGTCAAGAAGGAAGTGATCACATTTAAACAATACAACCTGCTCTTGCTTCATATGTTTGCTTGGTGCCATCTCCAGCTTTAATCATGGGCTCTCAGATGCTTGCACCACATGCAGATATTACACTCATTGTTAGTCAAGAACATGGACAACTGTGATAGTCTCCAGTTTCTAACCTTGGAAAGCAAACCAAGTCCATTAACAGAATGGAACTTTTCTAAAGGATCAGGGTTTGCAGCCACTTTTCAGGAATATTGGTAGATACTAAAGAGAAGACAAATAGGGTTCTTGGTTTAAAATTCTTAACTATCATTTTTCTTTCCTAATGGCCTCAGAGGACAGTGGCCCTTTTATCAGCCTTGGGACTAAGCCACTTCTCTTCAGCATTTCTTGCTTTTCCTCTCTCTCCCACTGAATACCCCTGCCACACAAATGACTTTCCTGTGAGGGTTAGGAAACTTAGGGAAAAAAACAAAGCTAAGGTGTCAATTCTTAACTATTAACACAGTCAACTCCTCTCGAATTAGACAAAAGTAGAGAAGAATAAAGGCAACAAAGGGACTAAATAAAGCCTCAAAAATCAACAACACCAAAAGGCCTATAAGTTCTTCCAAATAAAAATTTAAAAATTAATATTGTAACTAGGACAACATAGCTTAATTGTTTCTAATATTTCACAATTCAAGGCAGTACTAAAACTCATGTATACAACAGTTGGCTACTACCTCAGGTAATGCTAAAGTTGGGAGGGAAAGGAAAAAGCACCAGGTAATTAATTACCAGGTTCATTCTTCACGTGCCTTCCAATTCAAGAGCTCAGCACATGTGTGGATCCACCAACACTAAGAACAATGGGGGTGAATCAAGGACAGAAGAGTCAGCAAGAACAGGTGAGTTTTACTTTTATATAGGAAACTCTGGGCTCTCGGTGGTCTGTACTCTGCCAGAGGCTTACCAAATATACCTCCTTGAAGAGTGTTACTCATGAGGATGGAGAGAGATAAGGTTCTAAATCAGTGATGAAAATGTCCATTAGTTTAATTTTATGGAATGGAAGGTATAATTGAATGCATCTAGGGTGGATTTAAATAAACAGATTTCCTAGTTAACATACTTTTAAGGGCAAAGAAGGGACAGAGGAGCCATAAGTAGTACTGGAGTACTCATCTGTACCAGGAACAGTGTGCAGAGCTTCAACACGTGATTTCACTGCTCAAACACTTCCCAAGGAGATTTACAGATTTTTAAGAATCTAACAGCTTATATGAAAGGTTGCAGCATTTGATATTTTAATACTATAATTTTTCCATCACCAAAGAAGTAGATTTTTAACCTGAATCATTCCTCTTGGCCATTATGGATACGACAGATTATCAGAGAAACCACTGTACTTAATTTATAATCAAATGTAAAACCCTACCACTTGTGCCAAGTCAGATACCTTAACCTGTTTATGAAATCTTGACTATAAAGAGCGAAAGACACAGGTATTGGCCAGCATTTTCAACTACTTGCTCTGAATATGTAATTTCTGAAAGCAAAATGTCACTGTTGCTAATCTCACTGGGAGTTTCCACAGATTTTTGTTCCAAAAGGGAAGAAAAGCAAATTAAAAAAAAAAAGTTCATAAAGAAACTTAAAACATTTTCATTTCTCTTTTCTTTTCGGTCCCTTAACCCCAGCAGAAGGACAGCTTCATTCTATGGCTGAAGCCTATGTGTGTATTACTGAATTATGATTGTCACTTAATGTATTTACAGGGTTATAATAAGAACAGGCAACTTCTACTCTGCAGTTTGTGTCAGCTGCAGTAATAATCTAAAGGAGACAGAATTATTTACCAAATTACCTGCTGCTGCTGTTATTCTTCTTGGATTTGTTCCTCCGTTTTAAGGCATCTCTGTCCTTGTTATTGTATGGTAACATGGAGGCATAACCATGTTCAGCTTCTAGAAAACCGGAGAATCCAGTTAATGAATGAGCCCAGAACATTCAATACGCTCGCCCCTCCACAGTATTTCTTTTAAAATTTATTTTTAATTAAGAGAATAGTGTGGAAATAATTAAAGGGAGGAGCAAGGTAAAATTCTCAGAACAATGATTCCTCCCCCACCCTCCAAATTGTGTGAATACCCTCAGTTTGGAGCAGGTGTAAGGAGTATTCCAGCTGCTCATTGTTGAGAAAGACACAGCAAGTCGCTGAGCTCGTGGAACCCGGGTTTCTCATTAGCAACGTCCAGCAGGTTGGTGTGTGATTAGTGGGACCAGCCTCAGGCTCCCGTGAGGAGCAAAAACAGAGAGGCAGGGGGGCAGTGGGTTGGGGAGGTGCTGCTCCTAAGGAGGGAGACCCGTGGCCAGGCCCACTTGAGGTCTGGCTGGGACCAACCCGTTGAGGTAAACCAAGGGCCTGGCTGAGGGGTCTTGGGCATCCTACTCGCGACGGTGTAGGGGACCCTGAGGTCAGCGCTCCCTTTTCCACCCTTATTCATTGCCTGTGGGGCAGCGGTGGCCTCCCTTCAGACCGCGCGTGGGGAGAGCTGGAGGGGTTGGGAGCGCTCGCGGTCGCGCTCTCCGCGCCTCCAACCACCCCCGGAGCGGCTGGGCACCCCGACCCGCGGCAGGACCCCCCCCAGAGCCCCTGCCCCCGGCTCGGGCCGGACACCTCCCGTCCCCGTGCACCTCTCTCTCGTCGCTCCAGGTAGTCAGCCGCCTCCAGCAGCATCTGGATGTTCATCCGAACCGCCGTCGCCATTCTGCACCGGGGGCCGGAGCCACGGGACCAACCCCCACTGTCCACGGGCTCGTCGCCTGCGCCGGACACCTGCTCCCCGCTGTAGACCCCGCAGAGCAGGGTGAAGGCAGCTTCTCTGGCGACCACGCTCGCCGGATAGGGGGAGGGGGCTGATGAGCTGGGCACCGCCGACACCGTGACAGAACCTAGAGAAGAGCAGCAGCCACCACCGCCGCGGAGTGTTTATCCCCGACTCACCATCGCCCCGCCCCCAGCCCCTTCTCTTGACAGGCCTGCTTCGGCTTCGTTTCTCATTGGGCACTACAGAGAATGCCCCGCCCCTAGCCGTATCCTATTGGGGGAGGACACTACAGCCCCGCCTGCCAGAGTCCGCTCCCCTCGCTGGTTGGCCACGCATGACAAGGCCCGGGCTCCTCCCCCTCTCCCCAATTGGTGACAGGATTCGCAACTCCGCCTCGTGGTCCTTCCCTGTTTTCCATTGGTTCTATACCGACAACCGAGCCCCCTTTTGCTTTGTTAGTACTGGCCAAGAGCTACAGAAAGCAGTCACTTCGCCTACCTCCCATTGGTGCAACCTTCCGAAAACCTCCCAACCACGATGACGTCACCCTTCTCCAGGTCGGGCGATCCCGGAGTGGCTGGTGGTCACCCTCCCGGCTACTCCTCCCCAGCACTCTCAGGGAGGGCCGACCCCGGCGCCGCTGATTCACCGGCCGCCGCGGAGCTCGACTCCACCCGGCCCCTCCCGTCTCCACGTCAGACTTGTTGCCGGGACCTGTCCCCAGGGAAAAGTTCCTGGGACCTGCTAGGCGTCCCTAGAGTGGAAGATTGACATTGCACCAGTCGTCAGGGCGCTGCGCCCCGCACAGGTTCGGGACCGAAGCCCTGCATCTGACGGGCGCGGCCCGTAAGCTTTCCAGGCTTCCCGGGACTCAAGCAGTGGAGGACCCACGCCTGGAATCCCCCAGAAAGGAAGCGACACGGGCAGCCAGGCCGGTGGTCGACCAGCCGCGGGCTCTGGAGGCGTCACGTGGCTTAAAGTCTGGAGGGGAAAAGCCTGTCGGTGTCAATGCTCGTCGCCCAGCTTCAGAAAAGACTGCAGCCTTGATCTCTCCAAACTCCCAAATGCTGCCATAATTACTCCCTCAATCGAGTAGGTTTTAAAAGCCGCAGAAACGTCTTGTACCTACAGAAGGACGCTGAATCCCGAATGACTTTCCTAAAATCCATCAGTGACTTTTCTTCCCTTTTAATTTTAGGCGAAACATTCCAAAAACTGTTTCAAGATAACTCTAAGTGTGTGGTGTTTCTGTGAGGGGTGGAACCAATGGAACTTACAGAAAACCAAAAAAAAAAAAGTACTTTTAAGATTTTTGAGGTGAAAACTATTGCGACGTCCAAGACACACTCCTAGTACACTGACATCTCCATTTTAAACAGTAGAAGTACTACTACACCTGGTAAGTCTAGGTTCTGAATATAGGAGCGAGTAAAACATAAGCATACTTAATTAACAATGTTTTTAAAAAATATATATTGTTGCCTTACATGATAATCTCTTACTAGGTGTCAGGTAATTTTAGATTTACATTAGCTCTATCTCCATAAAATCCTATCAAATAGGGGCTGTTTTTTTTTTAAACGGTTGTTCTAAAGGCAACACAGTTAAGGAATAAACTGAGTAACATCAACACTGACAAACACTGGGGATAAAGAAAGAACATAAATATAATTATGGGAAATTTAAACACATCCTATTTCACGACTGAAAAATCCACTAAAATAAACTCAACAGCATTAATTAGTACAATAAATGTAGTAACCAGACCTGGCATAAAGGAAACATATATTCTGGCTTTGACTGCTAATTGGATCCAAATGCTGGTTCTTTACAAAAACATGAATGCACACACATAGGTTGAAATGTTTTCAAGGAAGCACAAAAAGCTGGAAATGAGAATGGAGATATAATGAGTAAATTGCAAACTATTTGTAAAACAAAATTGCAAATGAACGTGATTCTATTAAAATGCCAAAACTGATAAATACACTTGGAGTTCATTGTCTAATTTTGGATTTTGTGCCTTTTTAGTTTTTCTTTAATTTTACTATGAACATTCAGCAAATCTCTTTATTCTTTTTCTTTTATCCTCAACTTAAAAAAAAAAAACCAGTCTTATTTCAAGATGATTCTTTCCCTGATTAAAAATTGTACTTACCAAAAATAAAAAAGGTTGAAATCTGACTCAGAAGTAGAGATGAATAATTTAAACACCAACAGGTCTATCTCAAACTTCAAACAAAAATGCTAAATTATGTAACAGAGAATTAGACCAAAGAATGAGCCCTTTTCTGTTCCCTGGTGGTGAGGGAAGAAAATATCAAGTAGCCAGCAACATCAACTAGGAATCAATTATGAATAACTTCAAAGGGTATTTGGTGCCATCTACTGGAAATCAAGTAGGAAATACAAAACAAGTTCTGTTTTGCTTTATTAGAAATTACACAAACGTGTGAAACGTGTGTAAAATGACCAGTTAAATCTGAAAAGTAATAGTTTTGAAGAAAGAACTGAAAATTCTAAAGGTACAAGTGGTGACTCCAGTATCTCAAAAGCATTACATAAACATTGACAGGCACAACCCACAAAATAAAAATTGGAAATTTTAAAATGTTTGCGTCCTTACTTTGATATTATGAGTAATCTTATGTGCAGGAGCATAAGCCTGGTCTGACAACAGTTAATATCTTTGAGCAGGCTTCAAGATAAACTAATTGAAGTGGGGTAATAAAAACTTTTGAATATGGGGAATCAAAGACATACAATGTACTTCTCAAGTAATCTTTAAAACATCTTTTGGAGCCCTCCCTGGTGGCACAGCGGGTTAAAGCACAGCACTGAGCAGCTTAAGCCACTTCCGCATGAGTTCGATCCCCTTAGATCCCCGCCTGCCCGGGAGGAGATCCACATGGCCCGGCAGACCTCACCTGACCCACCCGCTGCTCCCCTCAGCAGTGTACTTCCGTTGATCTGCCTGTTCTGCTCCCCACTCTGTCTCTGGTGAATCCTCTCATCCTCCGCATCTCTGGCCTGTACCCCAGTTCTGTATGAATAAATAAATTAAAAAACAACAACAACAACATCTTTGGGAAGCCAAGACCCAGGTATGGTTTTTTTTTTGAGGGGCTTAAACACAAGCAGGCACAGGATGGCAAGTAATGTCAATGCTGGGCAGCAGGTTCATTAAATGCTAAGTGAATTTTACAGAGCTGCCGCCAAGTGAGTACTTTAGAGAGGCAGGGAAGACAACTGTTGTATTATAAGTATATAAACAATTTCAAAAGTGTAATTAAAACATTATTTATAATAATGAATTTCACACCACGGAACCATTATGACATTAGAAAGTATTTTGTTTCATAAGCTTTTGAGGGACTGATTTTGTTTCTGAGGTGTAAAATTTAAAACTAGAATTTTCTGCTTCAGTTACATCATTTGTAGCTATTCTGGGACACTTGAAATCACAATGTTAAGTTTAGAAAACCTAAACTACTGCTTTGAAAAGTTAATTACCCCACAAGTTTTGTGATTCAACAAGGGTGGTATACACATTGCACAAAATACGCTGTAGAAGTTAAAAAAAAAAAAGGGAGTTAATATATTCTGGCATAGAAAGATCACCAAGGTGATGGTGAGTGGTGAGTAAACAAAGTTGCAAAAAGATCCCTACAGCATATTACCTGTTTTTTTTAAAAAAGCATAAATTATGTATTTTCCTCATTTCTACATCAAATTGTGTTATATACATTCACGCATAGACACAGGTATGGAAAAAATACATATTGCAAAAGATTCACAGTGGAGAAAAGGCAACAGGACTAGGACTATAGATACTATTCAAAGGGATTTACTTTCGTTATGATGTCTTAAAATTTTTAAAGTAAAAATGTGTCTATTTAGTACACTGATAACTAAAGGTCAACATAAAAATCAGGATTAGTGGTTAAGTGAATAACCTTCTGACCTACCTATATTTACAAATGAATAGACAGTTGTGTGTTCTACTCTGTTGTCAGACACTGGTTCTAGGGCTATAGCAGCAAAAAATGACAGAGTTCCACTAATCAGAGCCCAATGCCTAGTGAAGGAGCCAGACAAAAATAAATAAATACAGAGTATGTCAGGCAGTGGTAAGCAATAAGGAACAGGCAACTTTACAAAGGAAATAAGAGCATCTGCATCGTCACATCTTGCTGATGGGAACGTTAAAATAGTGCAGTTACTTTGGAAAGCAGTTTGACAGTTCCTCAAAAAGTTAAATATGGAGTTACTACGTGAACTTAATTACATTAATTTCACTCCGAGGTATATACCCAAAATCATATTCAGAAAACTTTAACAAAACACATGCTCATACAGAAACTTGTATACAAATGCCTATGGCAGCATTATTATAATAACCAAAAAGTGGGAACAACTCAAATGTTCATCAACTGATCAATTATAAAAATGCTGTACAGTCACATGCCGCATGTTTCGGTTAGTGACAGACCTCACATCCTATGGTGGTCCCTAGGTCTATGCACGCATGTATACATCTATGCATATACATATAGTCTAGCTGTGCAGTGGGCTATACCATCTAGGTCAATGATGTACACAATGTAAGTTCACACAATGGAACTGCCTAACAATGCATTTCTCAGAACATACCTGTCACAAACAACACATGACTACGTATCCAGAGAATATAGTATTGGCGATAAAGTGAAGTACTTAAACATGGTGCAATACGGATGAGCCTTGAAAACATGCCTAGTCGAAGCCACCAAATCCCAGAGTCCACATATTTATGATTTCATTTATATGAAATGTCCATGTATGTGAAAATTTCCAGAATAGATACATCTTTAGACAGAGAAAATACATTAGTGGTTTCTGGGGTGATGGTGGAGATGGATGGGGAAGGATGAGAAGTGATTAATAGGCATAGGATTTCTCCTTGGGGTGATGAAATGTTTTGGAATGAGTAGTGATGGAATATTAACTCTGAACATACTAAAAACAACTGAAATTATTTTTTCAAAGGGTGAATTTTACAGTGTATGAATTTTATCTTAATTTTCTAAATGTTAAAAAAAGGAGGTTAAAGAAAAGGATAGAGAGAGGAGGAGGTTGCTATTTTAGAAAGGATGGTCAGGAAGGATCTTATTTTCAGCAGATATATTAACATAGTTACCTATGCAAATCTGAGAAGTGAGGTGGGAGAGGAGGAACATTTCAGGAAAAGCAAGTTGCAAAATCTCCTCAAGTAGATATGTACCTGTTCTCAAGGAACAGCACGGATGACAGCATGGGTGAGTGCAATAAAAAGGAGGTAAGTCTGCAGGGAACTCCAGGGTCCAGACTGCAAGCTGTAGGCCACTGTAAGGAATGGACTTTATTTTAAATGATAGCCAATCACTGCAGTAGGAGCAATGTGAACTGATGTATATTTTAAAAGGTCCACTTCTGCTGCTGGGTAGAGAACAAATTGGGGCAGCAAGGGAAAGGTGAACCATCAAGAGGCTACTGCCATAGACAGGCAAGAGAAATGCCTTCGATTGTATATGTGGTCACCTGTGGGCAGATTCAATGTACAGCAAGTCATGATGTATACTTAAAATAAATATCCTACAATTTTATGTGTCAATTATACCTCAATAAATTTGTGGGAGAAAAAGTGGTTGGATTCAAAGTATACTCTGAGATTAGAGCCAAAAAAAATTGCTAATGAATCTCACACACGAGACAGAGACGGACAGGATTTTAGTCTGCAGAAAGGAGTAAATGGAGTAGCCTTTAATGGGGAAGCCCAGAGAAGATCAGGCAGGAAAATTATAAGTTCAGTCAATCTTAAATTTGAGATGCCTAATTAGCTAGATGTATATACAAGGCTGGAATTCAGGTAGAGTAAGGCTGTTAGTATAAAATTTGAGAGCTATGGCAGATGTCTGAAGCGATTCACATGAATGTTTCAACCAGTAGAGACTGGAGAATCCATGGGATGAGCCCTGGAGAACATTTAAGTATTTAGATGTGGCACAAGCTCTCTTAGGTAAGTCAGTGGCTTCTCAAGAGGAAGACACAGATGGTCCATCTTTGAATTTTTACAGAACAGGATGATCTGATGGATAGAAGTTCCTTCAAACCAAGAATTCTCTTAAAAACACAAGTGTCTTAATTCTGGATCTTCAAGCATATTCTCTTCCGTTTCTCTGGTGTTAGTTCATGGAGAGCAAACCTACTGATTTACCAGGTATACTAAAATCATTTTTTTCCACAAAATCTGCTATCTTGAGGATCAAGATGTACTACCACCACACTAAAACGACAATCAAAAAACCTATAACTTGGTTTTCAGTTTATTTTACCTCAGAACTTATAGCTTCCCTATAAATAAATAAATAAATAAATAAATAAAATGAAAATTGGGTCTCTTTTCCTTACAGATGTGGTCAGAAATTTTTCCTGTAATGGATAATTTACAGAAATGGAAAATTATGGTTACATGATTGGTGGGGGTATGGGATTCTATTTAGTTCAGCTGACAAAAAGCCAAAGCAAAATAATCCACTGCCTGGGGCAGTAACATATGAGCAATGAGGACTACAAGTTGTACAACTGATGCAAATATTTAAGCACTGAAAGGTAGTAGGTAGGATAATTTCAGCCCTTATAGTATGAACAGCCTAAACTTTCACATCTGGAAAATGACGATACCAGTACCTGCTTTACCTAAGGATTAAGTGAACTAAGGTATACTGTACACTCTTACGCAACACTGTCATACTACCATCTTTTTTATAGGGAACTAACTGCCAGGAAAGCTTTAAAAGAACTATAGTAAGTAGTCAAATTTCAGATTCAATAAAGTTCTAAAAATCCAGCTAAAGATACCTGTAAAATCAGGTATGTATAAAGGAAGTGATTATAGAATTTAAAAAACTTGAATATCCATCAATGGGGGGGGTTAATTAAAATACAGTCTTAAAAGAACTATAATTTGCTGCCCTAAAAAAATAAAGAGGAAATACTATATGAGTGATAAGAAACTATCTCAGTATGTATTATTAAGTGAAAAAAGGATTGGCACAAATTAGTGCAGAATTTGTTTTCACATATCTATAGTATTTATTGACAAAAACCCAAAATTTTAAATCTAACCATAAAGACACAGTGTCAGTGAAATATTAAGCAGACTAGGTAAAAGTTATTATTTTCAATTTAAGAAGAGCTTTCTTCACTAAGAAAAATAAAAGCTTGCCAAAAAACAAATGAGCCCAAGATTTGGAACTAGTATTTAAAAAAAAAAGTAGATATGGCTTACACATGTTAAAAATGTTCATACTGGCCCTCCCTGGTGGTGCAGCGGGTTAAAAGCACAGCACTGAGAAGCTAACGCCACTTCCGCATGAGTTCGATTCCCGCCTGCCCTGGAGGTGACCACATGGCGTGGCAGACCTCT